CCGTGTCTCTCAGGGAAGACCAGTGCGGGTCGCCACCCCCAACCCTCTGGGCCCTTCGGTCGCCGCCCCGCCGGGCCGCTCACCCTCCATCATCTCCTGCGACAGTTGCTGGCCCGCGCTGTGCTCCGCCGCCATGTTGGCTGCTCTTCCCCTTTCCGGAATTTGTCGCCTCAGACCCCTCAGCCAATCAGGACTCCAAGCTCGGAGTTTTCCCAGCCAATGGAATCCCAGCGCAGGGGAGGCTGAACCTCAACGCGCCTGCGCGGCCCCAGTACCTCATGGGAGTTGTAGTTCATTCCTGAGAACGGCCGCCTGACCTACCCCGGACAAGTAATTTAAGAACGCCCGTAGGTGTCAAGGCGAGGAGCGGGGAAGAGGGCAGGGACTGGCGAAGTGCACGCACGGAGCCGTAGCTGCAGGCGAGCGGAGAGAAAAATTTGAGCTGGCTCGTAGCGGGTCTCTGCGAGGGGCTGCAAAGTGCGGACTTTCAAGCCTCATCAACCGCGCCTGCACAATGGGCTGAATTTGTCCCGGCGTCGCCGCGCGGACTTAGCCTGTGTAAAGGGGCCTCCTCCAGTTAACGCTCAGCTCAGGGCTGCCTCAGCGCGGGGCACCCGCGCTCGTGCCGGGGGCCACTGCGCAGCAGGTTCTGAGCAGGTCGAGACCCCGGATGCCGACCCAATACAGGCAGGCGCTGCAGTCTCTCGGTCCTCGGCCCCGCAGTCGCGCTTGGCCCGTGAAGGAGTCGTCCCCGCAGCCCCCGCCTCCAGGACGGGGTGCTCATCCTTCTCAATTCCGAGAAAGAAGGCACCGGCGACTGCGGGACCAGGTTGGAGGAGGCGCTGGCGCCTCTCAGGCGCCGTAGGAGCCTGGTGCGTCCTTAGCTACCGTTAGCGCGGGCTTCCCCACTCCGGCTCGCTAGCTCCCGTCCACAGGAGCCAGTGGTTGGCCTATGGGACCTGTCAATCGGCGTGAGTTGCTCTACGATTGGCCGGCAGGACTGGAGGGGAAGAACGGTTTCCTCGTGGCGGGGTATTCGGTCGGGTGTCGTTCGTCGGCTCCAGGTGAGATACCTGCGCCCTGGAGAGGTAGCCCGGGCTCCGCGGGGCCCTGGCTCGGCCCTGGGATGAGCCAACCTGAGGGCTCTGTCCCCGCCGCTGCCGGCTCCCCTCCGTGCGGCTCCGGCCCAGGGGGTGGCCCTCCGTCCTGCGGCCGTTTGGCCCGGGCCCGGGCCCGGGCCTCCCTGGTCCTCCGTGTCTCCGCCTCTGCCCAGCCCTTCCCGCGCTCAGTCCTCCCCTGGAGTTAACTGTGCGCTTTATCCATGATCATTGCCTGCCTCCGGGAAGGTGAGCTCTAGAACGGAGGCCGTGCCCGGCTCAGCTGCGGATGGTGCCAGGCACGTAGAAGCTTTTCAGTAATAGTGGGATGAATGCGTGAGCTGTGGGTACAGACCGCGGCTCCCCGACATCTTCACTTGGATGTCCCAAGCACGCCCGGCTTTCTCCTTCACCAGTGTTTCTTTTCCAGAGAATGGCAGTGCCCTGCGTTGAAAATTCGTGATGTGGTCTTGATGCCTTTCATTCCCTCACCTCATCACCCAGAAAATGGATGGTAGTTTTATGTCGAGTTTTTTCTTAAAGGTTCCCCTCGCCATCTTTCTGCCATTGCTTTCATTTCAGACTTCATAATTTCTTGCCTGGATTACTGTAACCTTTCTCTCCCCATCTCCCCCGACCCTTGCCCTTGGAGTGATCTTCATGAAATGTGTGTCTGGTCTTGTTGCTCCCGAGCGTAGAGACCATTAAAGTGAATCTTAGGGATGAAATCCAGACTGCTTGGGCAGGCCTAAGGGGCCCTGGGAGTTATGCCCGGCTACTCCTTCCCAAGGGCTGTGGGCACCTTTGACCTGTGGTGGTTCTGCCTGGAAGGCTTATACCCTTTGCAGTGCCTCTGCTGGTGCCTCCTGCAGGAACCCCTTGCTTACACCCTCTGTTACAGCAGCCATTGTCCTGGGTATTGTTTAGGATGCTTGATGCAAGAAAAAGACACAGTCTCAAAATGGCTCTGATGGCTGATAAAGTCAGTGGCCCCCAAACCTGCAGTCCAGAGGAAGGTAGATTTTAGGGTGGGTTCATTGGTTGTGCACAGTGACGTTCTTGTCATCTTCTGCTCTGCTGTCCACATGTGGGCTTCATCCTGAGGCTCGTTCTGCTTTTGGTTGTACAGCAGTGGTGGGGGCAGTTGGAGCTATTTGCTTCCTAGCTTGCGTTCTAGTGGCACAAAGATGGTTGCTTCCAGAAGGTCACCTATAAGAGGAAGGAGTGCTTTCCAAAAGATCCCTGCAATGCTTTCCTTGTTTCTGTTTGGTCTGAGCAGGGTCACTCACACCTTCTGGAATCAAAACTGGCAACAGGAATAGGATTATTCTAAGGCCGTGGTCGGCAAACCGCGGCTGATGAGCCACAGTTTGCCGACCACTGTTCTAAGGCATCATGAAGTCCTCTCAGTGTTCAGTTTCCCGTGATAATCCCTCTTCACTCTGGTCCCCACACCATGACCCCAATACTAAACTGCCATTGCTTAAAAAAAAAACACTATTCTAAATACCTAGGCCTGGACTTGCACACAGTTCTGGTTGCTGTTTGACTCAAAATTAACCCTGAGAAAAGGAAGTGAGCTACAGTGGTGTGAAGTCAAGCTCTGTGCTCAGAGGCCAGAGGCCCTAGTCCCTGGGGTTGGGATATGCCGTGCAGTGCCAAGCTGGCCCACGAAGGCCCACAGGCAGTGCAGGAAGCACAAAGGGAAAAGGATTTGTCTTTTCCACATTTGCTGGTTTATCAGTTTAAGACTAATTATTTCTTTTCATGGAAGACAAAATTTCTTGCCCTCATGGAGGCTTCACATTTCCTTCCCCCCCACCCCCCTTGTTACTTTTACAAAGTAAAGTTTTGTAACATTTACAATGTAAGTCTGAAGCTGTAATCAGGTCTTCTGTGTTTTGTCTGTAGATTGGCTGAAGAAGTAGAAAACTAGGATCATGTCATAATTACTTATAGAAATTATTAGAGACATTAAATATTGCTATTTGAACAAAAGCAATACATTCTGAGGGTTTCTTATTTAATTTCTTTCTAGTTTCCTACTCATTCAGCTGTTGCTTTTTAGGACCCCATGCTTGATGTATATGTGTATATAAAACGTCTCTGAATTTTTAGTAGGTACAGTTGCCTCATATAAAAGGATAAATGCAGTATCAGTTGTGAATCATAACAGTAAAGTGAGCCATTTAAACCTGCCATCCAAATTTGGAAACCAGGGGACCCTATGCCATTGTGTCCTTCCTCCCCATGCCAGCTTGTTGCTGGACCCACAGAGGAAACCTCTGCTTGAAGTTTGGATGATGCAGGCTTGGGGTGGGCGTGTCGCCCGGGCCCTATGACTTCTCACTTTTCAAGCCCCTGGTCCAGGCCTCTAGGCGGTTTTTCTGTAGTTACATAAGATGTAACCATCGGCGGAAACTCAGTGAAGGCCATGTAGAATTTTTCTGTATTTTTTTCCTTATATCTACATGAAAATCCACAAATAACTAAAAATAAAAAGTTCAAAACATAAATCTCTGCTGTGGTGCATCTCTAGACTCTCAGCCTTGGCCTTACATTGCTATGTTTTTAGAAGCTCAGTGCGTGATTCCGGGTGTAATTGGTTGGACCCATCTGATTCATGGCATTGATAACGTTCCTCTTGATCTGAGAGCATTTTCCTGGTCCATTTTCCTCTTTTTCTTCTTTCCCATCTCTTCCTGTGTATGCCACTGAAGAGCTCCTTTTAGCAGGACTTTGGTTCAACTATCTTCATGTAGATTCTGACCCAGAGGGCAATTGGGTGTGTGAGCCTTTTGGGGCTGAGCTTAACGCAGCCTTGGGAAGAATTACTTGGTTAAACTGTCTTCACCTTCTTGCATTGCAGATGTTGATTAGGGTCTCCTTGTTTTCTAGTTGACGGCTGTTCCACGGCCTACCATCTCTCAATGGAGGACAGAGGCTCACCCGCCTTGGAAAAGGACTGGAGGTGTCTGTGTGGGAACCCATCCTCGTTGGCACCCTCTGAGGGCCCCGCTGTGCAGACCTCCCCCCAGCTCAGCAAGTCTGTGTCCTCGGCCCACAGACACCTGAACAGAAGGAATGGGCTCTCGAAGCTCTGCCAGAGCAGGATGGCACTCTCCGGTGACTACCTCCTTGTGGTCATGTGGGCATCTCATCTCTGTTCTTGCAGAGACAGGTGTAGGTTTAGGTGCTCTGTGCATTGGCCACCTATGCCGCGCATCTTTCCTGGTGTGTCTGTTCATGAGATTCTTAGGAAACTCTCCTTTTCAGGCAGCGGTTAGAATTCTCTACATTTCAGGATTAAATTAAAGCAAAATATCATCTCTTACTTCAGAGTGTGGGGAACACTGTCCTGGGCTGGGCTGCATTACAGGTGAGACACAGATTGGCTAGTTTAGCTCAGCCAGTACCTACTGACTGCACTGCAGGCTCAGGCTCTCCTGGACCCGGGCAGAGCAGACCAGGGGGGGGACGCCAGCTTCACAGCTGTGGTGAGTGGGGGTGCCAAAGCCCAGGCACAGCAAGGAAGAAAGGGTTGCTCTGCCTTCGAGGGGCTTGTCTTCTGTAGGGGATGGGGGGCAGGGGTGCTGCTTCAGGAGACAGTAGGGTCCACCCTAGAACCTGGGTGGGCCTGGAACACAGGGATGTTAGGACAGTGGAGAGATGGCAGGGAGCCAGAGATGGGCTGCAAGGGAGAGAGGATAGGTCCGGTTTTGAGGAAAGAACAGTTTGACAGAGGGGCGCTGGGGGTCATGAGGCAACCACCCCTCAGGACTGGGCGTCAGCCAGGTGCGCTGGCCCAGGGATCTGTCATTCAGGAGCAGAGGCAGAGCTGGCGCCACAGTGTCTGTTCCAAGGTGCGAGGTAGTGGAGCTGACCTTGGGCTCCTGATCTGATGAGGCCACTGAGAAGATGGAGGCTCCTCAGTGAAGCACCCAGAGGGGATAGAAGGGTGACTCTTTTTAAAAAAATATATATTTTATTGATTTTTTACAGAGAGAAAGGGAGAGGGGGATAAAGAGTTAGAAACATTGATAAGAGAGAAACATCAATTTAGCTGCCTCCTGCACACTCCCTACTGGGGATGTGCCCGAAACCAAGGTATATGCCCTTGACTGGAATCGAACCTGGGACCCTTCAGTCCGCAGGCCAACGCTCTATCCATTGAGCAAAACTGGTTAGGGCCGAGGGTGACTCTTGTTTGGTTTTCGATCCCCTAGAGCCGTGGTCAGCAAACTGTGGCTCGCAAGTCACATGCCCTCTAGAACAGTGGTTCTCAACCTTGGCTGCACAATAGAATCACCTGGGAATCTTTTTAAAATCCTGATTTCTGGGCCTCATCCTCCGGAAATTCTTTCTTTGTTATGGGGTGGGCCCACAACATTAGTAACAAAGAAACAGAATTTCCAGAGGATGAGGCCCAGAAATCAGGATTTTAAAAAGATTCCCAGGTGATTCTAATGTGCAGCCAAGATTGAGAATCACTGCTCTAGAGGGAGGGACTGACAATACTGAGATGGGGCAACTGCCGGAGCCAGGAGGGGAGCAGAGGTTCTGAGGCTGAGCCATGGCAGTGGTGAGAGGCTGGGAAGGGGAGGGGCAGGGTGCTGTACTGAGGGCAGGCACTGTAGGATGTGGGAGCAGTTGGGGGGAGCCACTGGAGGTATTGCCAAGAGCAGACTTTTTGGAGGTGAGGAGTGACCAGTTCAGCAGAATGGAGGGCGGGGAGTGGAGACAGCAGATAGTACTTGGATTAGTGAACTTCTGGGAACAAGTGATAGGGCAGCAATGCGTTCTGTAATGAGGTACATGGGAGAGTGCCCCTTGGCTGGCTGGTGGGTAGGGACCTCAGAGTGTTATTTGCACAGAAATGTTGAGCTCTGAGGGACACAGCTCTGCTGACTATGGAGCCCTTGGACTGGGGACTGTTAGCATTGAATCAACTCTATAGGTTAGTCATTTTGCAGGGGTTGGAGGTGAGGGCTATGGGTTTTGTGTGTTTCAGAAGCAAGCTCCTGGCAGCCAGGGACTCTAAAGCTTCCTTTTCTTTTCTTTCCAGAAGATAGATGGTCCTCCTATTGTCTCTCATCATTGGCTGCCCAAAACATCTGCACAGGGAAAGTGCAGTGCTCAGCCATGGCCGAGCAGGCAGACCCAGCTGGGTTCCTGGGCAGCATGTCCTGCTGCTCATTGCTGCGCGGCTTGTCCTCGGGGTGCTCCACGCCCCTGCTCCCGGCCCCTGCGGGCAACCCCAACAAGGCCATCTTCACGGTGGATGCCAAGACTTCAGAGGTATTTGCTGCGCTTTGTGATGCAGCCATGGATTTGGGGTCTGTGCCTTCAACCTGTAATCTCAATTAGAGGTATTTGTGCGTTTAAGGGCAACTAGAAAAATGTTTGGTTTTACTTCTATAGTAACAGCAGAGAGATGAATTTGGAGACCGAAATGTGACTCAGTGAAGCACATTGACTCGGAGAGGATGAGACCTGTTATTTACTTGTGCTTGCTGAAGCGTTGGCTGAACTGAAATAACACTGTTCAATATTTGAGCTAAATATGTTGGCATGAATGCACATTTTTATACACAAAGAACTGAAACTGTTGGAAGTGTGGCGCATGTCCCATCACTGCCTCCTGGTCTTGATGATATGCCCATCTTGTCAGGGGACAGCCTCCTTTCCACTTGGTCAGACATGGATATCCTGAGAGCGTCTCTGTATGAACCTGCCCACAGTAGATGGTGGGGAGAGGATGGGTCTCCCTCCCCTGAGGGTGCCCAAGCCACCACCTTCTCACTGCTCCGGGAGTTAGAGATGCTGCTGGTGATGCTGATGTCTTCTCTCTGCCACACTCAGATCCTGGTTGCCAACGACAATGCTTGCCGGCTCCTGGGGTACAGCAGCCACGATCTCATCGGCCTGAAGCTCACGCAGTTCTTTCTGAAGCCAGACTGCGATGTGGTGGAAGCGCTCAGCGAGGAGCATGTGGAGGCCGACGGCCATGCTGCCGTGGTGTTTGGCACAGTAGTGAGTCCGGGCTTGTGGACTGCTGCCAGCTGGAATGTGCAGCCTGGGGAGCAGCAGGGGGGCGGTGAGGACACCACAGGAACAGAAGCCACTGCTGCTGGCCTGGCGCTGCTCATTTGGGAGCAAGCCTGACAGCATCTGCAAACCTGTAGGCACCACCTCAGGCTCCCGAGAGAGAAACATGTTTTTATTTTTTGGTGGTGTTGGGGGGGTCTGGCTTGTGGTATGTGTCCAGCCCGGATTTTGATGGGTTGAACTGCATGTTAGATGCTGAGCCCTGGGTCTCAGGCACTGGAAGATTAGACGGCATCTAATACCCTGGAAAAATTACCTGTCCTAGGGACTGTGTCTGTTTCTTTAAGAAATTACAGATGCCGCTGATAATAAAATCTACTCTTTTGGTAGAACTTTCACTCAGATTGTAAAGTTCAGTGTCAGAAACCTTGTTTGTACTTTATTTACACAAAGTACAGGCAGGTGAGCAGAGCTTGAAAATACCACGTGCCTGGAATGGGGCGGGCCTGGCCGATGGGGGTGGGGTAGGCTGCAGGTGCAGCTTGTCCCTGTCCACAGGTGGACGTTGTGAGCCGAAGCAGTGAGCGGATCCCAGTGTCCGTGTGGATGAAGAGGATGAAGCAGGAGCCCCGCCTGTGCTGTGTGGTCGTGCTGGAGCCAGTGGAGAGGGTCTCAGCCTGGGTCTCTTTCCAAAGTGATGTAAGTTTCACGAGTTTGACCTCACATCTTCTCCCCAGCGCATCACACACACTGTTCCTACCATGTGCGTCTAGGCAGCAACAATGAGGGTTCTGGAGGTTGCCCCATCTGCTGAGTTCTTTAGTAATTATGTTCTTGGGCAAGGAACTTTATCTCCCCATGCCTCAGTTTTCTCATCTGCCAAATCAGGATATAATTGTAACCACTCATGGGATTGTTTTAACACTTCAATAAAATAGTATACGTAAAGCCCTCAGGATGGTGGCTGCACACAGACAGCATGCAGATGTGAGCTGTGGACGTGGTCATTGTACTAGCTAATGAACTGCAGTGTGCTGAGCTCTGCAGATGCCTCCAGATTGAACAGTAGGTCCATGTGGAAGGAGGAGCCAGCTGACCTGTTGTTAGAAGTACATTTGTTATGTACCTTTTGCAGGAGGAGTAGCTTGAAGGTGTCACTGAGGTTCGGTGAAGTTTGAAGCTGAAGTACAAGAAGCTGTTATTATAGTCAGTCAGTGTAGCTCAGTGGTTGAGTGTCAACCTATGAACCAGGAAGTCATGGTTTGATTCCTGGTCAGGGCATGTGTCCAGGTTGTAGGCTTGGTCCCCAATAGGGGGCATGCTAGAGAAGCTGATCAATGATTCTCTCTCATAACTGATGTTTCTATCTTCCTCTCTCCCTTCCTCTCTGAAATCAATAAAAATATATTTTAAAAAAGGAAGCTGTTATTTAACACTGGCTTTTCCTCCAAGGGAACGGTCACATCGTGTGACAGTGTCTTTGCCCATCTGCACGGCTACGAGTGTGGGAACGAGGTGGCTGGGCAACGCATCACAGACCTGATCCCTTCCGTGCAGCTCCCTGCACCTGGCCAGCCTCTCCCACAGGTGGGGTCCTGACCGCCTGCCCTGCCTTCCCTGGGAGACTGAGGGAGGGAGGAGGGTGTAGGGAGCTGGATGTTGAGGTGCCCCCATGCAGTTAATGGAGACTTAGTTGGCATGATTTTTGGACAAGGGATTTCACGGGAGTGTTGAGGACAGCAGGTCCCTTCAGGGAGGGTGTGTGTGGGTAAGAGCATGTTCTGGATTCACGTGACCAAGGGCAGCCCAGGAGTCAGGGCCACATGTAGACCAGAGAAGGTATCTGTCCTTGCAGTTCTGGGCCCAGAACTGTGATAGATGATCTAAAGCAGCTGAGACTTAGAGCTCAGTGATGAGATGCCATCTGTTCAGTGGTGCAT